AACATCCAGGACTGCGTGAGCTCGGGGAGGACGCCCGCGCTCGACGTGCCACGAGCGCCGGCCTCCCTCGAAGGGAACCGCGGGCCAGGGCTCGAGTTAGGCAGTGTTTTCCGTTTTCGTTTTGTTTTCGTCATCCCTAGTCCTGTCTTCGTTCCACAGTTGCTGCAAAACGCAATCAAAACGAAGACGGTCCACGACATTGCCAAAACACAGTTCAGCTCGAGCCCTGCTGCGGGCCGACAGTGCCCCGCCACCACGTCCCTCCGCAGGCCCAGGCCGCCAGCCCGGCCCATGCGTGGAGCGATACGCGCCCCCGCTGGCCCGCGAAGAGGCGCACTCCGGGGCTGCCCAAGCAAGGCCACTCCACGAAGCAGCTGAGCCGGCAGAAGTGCGTAGGCAGAGGAAAGAGAACTATGCACATACACCGATTCTGGCCAGGCCCATCCTGAGCCCAGGATCGGTGAATACGCCCTCCTGCCTTGGCCAGGAAAGCATATGCACCGATCCCGTGCCCAGGAGGGGCCTGGCCAGAATCGGTGTATGTGCATAGTTCTGTTCGCCCGAGTAGGGGCCGACCGACAGCCCACGGATGCCGAAGCTCGCCCCGCCGCAGGACAGCGCCGCCACCGCGCGGCACGTCCGGACGCCCCTGCGCAAGGACGCCACGACCGCTGTGCCTCATAAGCGGTGTCAGGTCGGGCATGTTCTCCCAGAGGCGGATTGCGGAAGAAAGTCAACACATACCACATACTCAAACATGATCAAACAATACTAGAACAATCGTCCCCAGATTGCAAATTTGAACGCAATTGTTCAAAATGTTCCTCCTGTGGAGGGACATGCCCGACTTCAACGTAGTGGCTTCGCACGCCTGCGCGGTGCACGCTCGGGGAGCGACTGCATGCCCCCTCGAAGAGCAGCAGCAGCAATGGCAGGAGGCGGGAGAACGGGAACGGAGGCGGGGATGGGATGGCACGCGTGAGGAGAAGGCAGCACAGGAGGAGGGCTGGAGTAAACCCGCGGTGCATTAGAGATGCTGCAAGTCGGATTGCAAAAAAACCTAGGCAATCCTTCGTGCAATCCTTCGTTGTTTTGCAATCCTTCGTTGTTGTTGCAATCCTTCGGTAACTTGAGACCCTACCGGCGTTTCTTTTCATTACAGGGCCCCCCCCCCACCCTTGAATGACGAGCGCCGCACGTGCCTGCCACTCGGGCGAGAGCCCCGCTTCGAGAAGCCACGACCCTGCACTTTGGCTGCAGTCGGGAGCACTGCCACGAAGCGGGTGCGCGCGGCGACCGCGCAGGGCACTCGGGGCAAGACAAGCTCCAGGAGGATCCAGACACCGACGAGGACGGCAAGGAAAACCGAAAGACAACGAGATTGTGATCATGATGCGGTAGATGCTCAGGGGCTTGGGGGGATGTCCAGCGACGCCCCCGTTTCGAAAGAAGACCGCCCTACACCTGTGCGGCTGCTTCACGCTTGCGCAGCGCCTGGTCGCAAGAACCGGGAAAGCGCCGCGCGAGAGCGCAGCTGCGAGCAAAAAAGACTATGTGGTCCTCCTCGGCCGATCGCCCCGTCCCCGATCGAGCCGCCCGTCCTGGGGGAACACCGAGGCACCGATGCTGCTCCAGTGGGGGCCCGCCAACAAGAAAGCTTCCACAGGAAACCCAACCCTGAGACCCCAGGACGCCCATGTACTTTTGGGGTGGGAGCGTCACGCTCTCCTTCGCAAGCCATTGACATCCAAGAAACCCAAGGCACCCTGGAGGCAATCAGGGTGTTTCCTGGCATGGGCCCCCACTGTACTCCCCAGACCTCTCCGGGGGTGTGCTCTGACAAGGTTATCGAGGAGCGCCCAGGCGTGGCAACGAGGGCTCTCCAACACGAGCGGCGGTGCAAGTATCTCAAAAGCCTCCTAGATGTGGTCGGGGTAGATGGGGTCGGAGGCTCGCGCCGCATCGCCGATACATCGGCGATGCATCGGCAATGCATCGGCAATGCACCAGCGATGTATCGGCGATGCATCGCCGACGCCGGCGTGAAGCAAATCGGGCTCCGCATCGAGCCGCATCGCCGATGCATCGGCGATGCGGCGCGATCCTCCGACCCCATCTACCCCGACCCCATCCAGGAGGCCTCGAATCTAGCCGTGGCAACGAGGGCTCCCCAGGACGAGGAGTGGTGTAGGAATCTTTTCCTCCCCAAAGTCCCCCGATCCTCGACCAGTCCGCTTGAGCAGGGACCGACCGTCCCGACATTCCTATAGTCCTACCACGAATTGTTCTTAGAACCAAGAGATTCTTAAATAACAAAAACAATGTTCTTAGAACATAAACCCGACGGGTTCAAACAAGACAAACTCCGCCAGAAATGTTATAAAAATATTTCGTGGACACCACACAAGGTTCTTAGAACATTGTTTGGTAGGGCGATAGGCGAGCCAGGGGCTTCGCCACTGCTTGATCCGTCCTCGACCGACCGATCGGGCCGCGGCTCCTCCGCGTCCCGCAGCAAAGCCCGGCAGTCCGCCCTGGTCCGGCACCGCCGGGCGGCTGGTGCGCCGAGCTGGACGCGCACCTCGGCCGCAGGCTCTGGGCAGGGGGATCAAGTTTGAGCTCCACGGCACCACCTCTGAATCTCGGCACAGGAGGCTGAACGAGTCGAGGACGACAAACACGAGCACCCAAACGATGTGGAGCGGCGGCGCCAAGTCGAGCGCCGTCCGAGCCGACGGACAGCAGAGAGGGGGGGTGGCAGCGGCCGCGGCAAAATTTATCATTTCCAGATCTCCGCCGATCTGATTTCTCAATGCGGGTGTCTTTCCTCGGTTGCGGCACTGGGGTGCCGTCTTCGAACCCTTCTTGACCATCAAGAGTGGGTCCGGGACGAAAATCTGCCCCAGGGGAGGCGGTCGGAACCTCTGGGGCCGCGGATTGAAAACATCATAGCGGCCGGGGTCATGGTCCGATGACAGGCATAGAGGGAGCTATCGATGAGGCGGAAGGCCACGCGGCAGTTGGGGGAGGCGGGATGGGAGCGGAGGGCAGGCGACAGACAGAAGGTCAGGAAGGACAGGGATGGACTGGGGAGGTGTCGGGAAGGGGAGGAAAACAATGGGGGGAAGAGGGGTAGTGGGGAGGAATGAGGTAAAGAATGGAGGATGAGGAGAAGGAGGAGGAGGAGGAGGAGGAGGAGGAGGAGGAGGAGGCGGAGAAAGAGCATGAGGAGGAGGAGAAGGAGGAGGAGGAGGAGGGAGGAAAAGGAGGAGGAGGGGGAGGAGGAGCAGGAGGAGGAGGAGGAGGAGGAGGAGGAGCAGGGGGAGCAGGAGGACGACAGACGAGAAAGGGACGGAGGGGCAGCCAGGGAGGGAGGGAAGAGGGGAGGACCAGAGTAATCGCAGGATGCGTGGACGATGCTGTCGTACAGCCTCCCATCCCAGGCTCTCCTCGCGACTCCCAGCAGTCTTGCCCTCTGGCAGCGGGAAGGACCCAGGAACGCCCTGCGGGCCAGCCGGTCAGGCGATAGTATCGCTTGGAAGGGAACTGCTCCAAGGACGCGACTCGGGAAAACCCAATTGTTAAAAAAAAGAGGCATTGCCAGAGGAGCGGCGTTGCGCCTGCAAAGCTTTGCAACTCCTGTTGTCTTGCCCAGCCGCCGCCAGGGGCCTTCAAAGCGCAGATCCAAGGAACCCGCGCGGACCCCCCAAAGCTTGTGTGCCGTGCTGTTCTTCTTGGGGGAAAACAGGGGCCGATACGGCCACTCCACGGACCTCTCCACGGGGACGTCCTGACCAGAATTTCAAAAGCAAATCCAGCGGTGGCGACGAGGGCCTCCCGGGAGGCCCCAAACACGCGAAAACGAGGGAGTGATAGCGGTATGGATACCTTTTCCTCCTCCGAGGTTTTCTTCTTCGAGAGTGGGGAGCAGAGCAGGGGTTAGAGGGAACGCCAGGGGGGGAGGGGGAAGAGCTTAGAGCAATCGACCTGGCATCGGCGGTACGTCACAACCATAGCGTCGGAGTGCCTTCGCTTCCGCAGAGCGCCTGGAACCCTAGAGGACATCTGGAGAACACCGGACATCCTGGATCTCGGCATCTCGTGACCTCTTGCGCCTCCGAATCAGGTCCTTCCCCTCCCCTGAGCCTGCCCCCCCCCCCTCCCCACAACGATGCCCCCCAGACATTCGGCGCTTCAGTGTCTTCGATGCGTGGACCCCCGGAGGTCTGGACAGCTTGCTTATATCATCAGGCCAGGCTTTGCATCCTTCGAAACGTTTGTTGACGGCCCCGGGGCCCGCTGAGAGCCCCGGGACACCGAAGGATCAAGCATCAATTGCTTCAGTTGTTTGCTGAAGACTCTGGTTCCTGGACCTGAGGACGAAGGCGTTGAACCAGAAAAGGTACCAACTCTTACAGCTTCCCCCCAGGCCCCTCCCTGCGCCCTGGCCCGACTTTCGCGGCGAACCCGGCCGCGGTGCTGGGGGCCTCCCAGGAGGCCCTGAAGCAAGGGGAGGACGAGGAGCGCCTGGCAGCACATCGGCACTCGCTCCTCCTCCGGGCCCGGGAGCTTCCTCTGTAGGGAAACCTTTGAAGAATCCGTGGGGAGCCCTTAGGAACCCCAAAAGAATCCATTGGGAATCGATAGGGGGATCCTCAAGAATCCCTGGGGGAACCTTTGGAATCCCGAGGGAAGCCATAGGAATCTCTTCGGAATCCGGGGGGGTCCGTTACAAATACGGTGGGGATCCTTCGGAACGGGAGCCCTTGGCACTCTCTGAAGAATCCTTAGCTCTGCCTGCGGAGTTCTTGGCTCCCCCTCATGAACCCTCCACTTTCCCTGGGGACTCCTTAACTCTCCCTACGGACATTTAGCACGGGAGCGCCGCCGGGCGCCAAGGCCGCAGAGCGGGCGGCCCTCCGCCCTTGGGGCCCGTCCGGGGCGCCCCAGCTGGGCGACCAGGGCCGCGCGGCGCGGGGCCCAGGCCTTCCTCCCCCTCCCTCCCCCCACCCCATTCTTCCCTCTCCTCCCTCCCCCTCCTCCTCCTCCTCCTCCCTCCTCCTCCTCCTCCTCCCTCCTCCTCCTCATCCTCCCTCCTCCTCCTCCTCCTCCTCCTCCTCCTCCTGTGCCTCCTCGTCCTCCCTCCTCCTCCCTACTCGTCCTCCCTCCTCCTCCTCCTCCCTCCTCCTCCTCCTCCTCCTCCTCCTCCTCTCCTCCTCCTCCTCCTCCTCTCCTCCTCCTCCTCCTCCTCCCCCTGCTGCTGCTGCGCTCCCGCTGGCGGACGCACACGTCCGTAGTGTCAGGCGGCCGCGGACCGCCCGCGGCCGCGCCCGATCGTCGCCACCTCGCCGTCGGAGGGAGAACCTGCACATCGTCATCGTCGAGAGGAGGAAGGACGGGCGAGGGGCGACATCGACACGACCAGCCCCCCGCCAGGCTGTGTTCTGGACGGGGGGCTGACACATCGTCACAGCCCCCCTGGAGGCATTGGGCCCATGGGGGGGGCCCCACCGCTCCTCCAGGGGGGCTGACAGCAGCTCCGTCACTCAGACGATGCCGCTCTGCATGCCCACGCGGACCGCGAGCAGGTCAACCTCCCGCTCCGTCCAGCAGTACTCGCCGCGTCCATGCCGCGGGCGCCGTTGATGTGGTTCGAAGGCAGTCCCCTTCGACACAAGCATCAGAGAAATCCCCTGCAATCGGCCATGCCACGACCGCAGCTCTGAAGTAGAAACAAATGCCTGCCTGACGGCATACCTGAAAAAGAAACACTACAGCTCTAATAATAGTCGCCATTCGATTCTTCGACCGACGTGCCTCACCAAACATAGAATCACTGCACCACTCTCTCTCTTGCCATTTCACTGCTGGTAGGTGACCAGTGACCGCTGCAACCCGTCCTGACATTATCCTCTGAACTAATCTGTGGTTCACCCCCTTGGCAATGACCTCGTTGTAGTCGAACGTACTCACATGATAATCTATCCGTCTCATGCCAAGTTCATGTACTTCGTCCGTATCTGGCCAGCATCGGTCCGAATCATCATCATGAAAAACAATCCATTCCAGTGTCATATCTGTCTGAAGTGCCACCCTTGGTATATTCAACTTCGCCCTGTTGTCACCAGGGACGGAAACACTTGGTGGAATCATTGGTACTACGTGAAAGCCACCACCACGAGCATAATCTGGCCCACGCACCGGTGGACACAAAGCCTTCGCCTCTGAGAAACCAATCACCCTCAAACATGCCGCGTCACGCGTGTCCTGTATGTCTAGTTCGTCTGCACGTTCTTCTGACAATGGCGACCTCGTGAGCCGCATGAAGTCCAGACACCCCGTCCCTCTGTACTTCAGGTGGTATAGCAATCGCTTCCGCGTATGAAAGTTCGTGTCGCATCCATGGCAAAAACCAGTCTCAGCATATAATCGTGCATCCGTCAGCCCCCCATGTTCTTTGGTTCGGTGCATTCGCCACGCTCGCTGGGAAAAAAGCACTTCCCCACATTCATAGCAGATGTATCCCTGTCTCTCGCCAGGTTCTCCATTCTCAGTTTGGATGACCGCAAACATCAACTCCTTCCAAACCTGTCTCTGGCAACAATCATGATAAATATCCGAGTATCTCACCCATGCAGTAGAACACATATTTAGATATCTTCTTGGCTCATTCCGAATAAACAAAACCCACTGCTCAAAAGACCACTGATCACCCTTGACAACCATTGACGACAACCACTCCAAATCCATACGTATCATGCCAAGCCACTGCTCATCCACACCTTGTACCGCCAGTAGCACTCGCAGCGTCGCTGGCCCCTTGTTCACAATCCTTTCGAAATACCGCAATCTACGTTGTCTTTGTATCGCCGACCAGTGGGGGCGCCTGACTTGACACATGACCTGCATGTCAGTAAACCGTACATCCGAAGCCGTGGTATGTGTCATGCCCGCCACTGCTCTCAGGGCCTTCACGTAGGTCGCATTGATGTGCCTTTCATTTTGATCTCCAATATTCGTCCACAACTCCATCTGCTGGAATAATCTTGAAAAAGCCAGGACCTCAATATATCTTATCTTTGATAGAATTTGCATCCCACGTCTTGGTAAGATAGCCCTACGGATGGGCCCCATCGCATGTTCGTGTTGCTGAACCCGCCTGTTGATCTCTGGTCTCATCGATGCATCAAATGACACTATTGCTCCCATATGTTTATATTGGCGCTCTACTGAAAACTGGAATCCATACCTCTCACTCTTTAACTGCAAGCCTGCCTCCCCATACAGCACATGACGTAGTTGCTCCCGTCCTTGTCCCCGAAGTTGTACCAGCACCCCCGTTTTACCTTTCCCATAGTTCGGCTCCATGCAATGAGAAACGAATACCATGTGTAGTATATCCATAGCCTTAGAAACATAATCAAGCACCTCCGAATTGGGAACGATCATCGGCAACAGCACATCATCAACGAACGTCACATCCGTGATCTGTTCCCTCATATCCGTCGCCCTCAGGAACTCAGGAGCTCGGATCTCATCTTGCCCAAATGTAAGTGCCAGCCCCTTGTCACGAAGCTGTTC